ACTTCAAGTTCTCTCCCACGCAAAAAATCGCCACAAAGAACAAGAACAAGTCAAGTCCTCAGTCTCCTACTGGAATAGAACCTTCTTCTTCTTCACAATTTATATATTAATAATAATTAATTAATTGGATTATTCGGTTGTAGTATATTCTTAGGCCCCGGGCCCCCGGCGGCTGGGCTGCTTTTCCGGTTACACACACATTTACTTGTGGAGAGACGACAGATCAGACAAGTATGCCAATTTGGAGACTTGACTTGTGCAAGTTGCTTCCATTTGTGAGATTTGAACCTTCAACTTATATAAACATCTATATGTACTATTATTTTATGTTGGCGTGATTGAAAATGAGACGGACCAAATTAAGATTTAACCCCATGGTGTGTGTAAAGGCTAGGGTTCAAAATACGCACATGAATTGTCCAACCATGGGTAGCTGAAATATTAATTTTAGTATCTTATTTGTTATGTTGCTGTTTCTGCTACACATTTAAGTGATTCAGCCTTTTCCATATGAATTTTGTACTCTGTTTGGTATTATAATGCTTGCAAATTCAGTCACCCAACTTAAGCAGAAAGGGGAGAAAACTAACAAGAAAATCTTTTCTTTTTCGAGTGATTGAGATCTATTGTTGAGTTTATATACCATTTCATTATGAATAAATGATCTTGAGTTTTACTTTTGCCCCGAAAAACGTGAGGATTAGTAGGGCAAATAAGCCTCCCAATTCTTCAGCATTTTCCCCTTATAAGACATCTTATATACTACCTTAGGTCCTAAATATAAAAGTTAGTTAACTAATTTGAGGAGATTAAGAAAATAAGTTTAGTTAGTTATTTGTAATAAATAGATGTTGTCTTTTTTAAAATATTCCTGTTAATCAAATGTATTGATTAGAACTATAATTATTAAAATGACTATTTCAGAAAAAACAAAAGCATAAATATAAAAGACAAAGTAAATTAAAGTCTTATATTTAGAAATAAAATAAAATTCAAATAAGGTCTTATATTAAGGATTAAAGGTAACATGTATGAACATTAATTAGTAAGTGTATTTTTGAAGGAGAAAAAAAAAAAAAAGAAAAGGGAAAGTAACTCTTAAACCCCATCCAAAGGCGGAAACATGATCTGAGTGAGGATTGCAACTAAGTTGGGAATGAATTCAGGAATTAATAAATTGGGCTTTTCCATCTTGGGCCTGTCCCTTTTACTCTGACCAGCGATTGTTATTCGATCCATATTCAATCTTGGGCCGCACGAGTAGTCTCAAACGTTTAGCCCGGTTTATTAGCAACCTTGAATCCCAGTACTTGGATATGGTTATCCACTTAAAAAAAAAAAATCTTTCTCCGAAGTTATAAATTTAAAAAAAAAAAAAATTGAAATACCATTCCAGGCTGGGGAACAAAACGGCATCCAATTTTAATGAATTATGACTTTATGAGCCATATGTGCTGATTCGAAATACCATTAATTACAAAGTTAATAATGGCCCTCATAGGAAGCTTCCCCTCTCTAGAATTGCACATGCTTTTTAAGCTTGTGGCAAGACATATAGAGAGGGGCCACAATAAAAGGCTATATGAGGGGCACTGCCTCCCCAAGATTTGAGTCAGAAGCGTCTCCAGGGCTCAACCTCTCCCAAAAAAACGAAAAAAAAAAAACGGTGGGTTAATGCTTGAGGTGAGGGGAATAGGAACCTTGGATGTTCAAGTTTAATTTGTTTTCAGATTTCTGAGAAAGTTTCTTTCCGTCGTAGAATTTCTGACAATTGATTAGGTTGTTTGGTAAACAACTTCTGCGCTGTGCTATATGTTGCAGGAAATTAAAACAGTTGAGAAACACAGTTTGTGACGGCGAGAATTGGACAAATGTTAGCAGCAAACTTGAGAACCAAGGTCTGCCTAACTAAGTTGATTTGATTACAGCATAAAGATTAAGAAACTGTCTTAAATATGTGTGTGTGTGTGTTTATTTGTGTCTAAAGTTTAAAAGAGAAGCCAATCATCATAGAGGCTTTCTCAACGAAAACTACTCCTTCCGTTCCTTATTATAAGAGACGAATAATCGAATTACGTTGATAAAAATGCAGTTAAAATTAGTTAAGAACAATCAATATAATTCTTTCCAAAAATGCCCTCATGAATAAGGAGAGAGAGCATGAAAGAGAATAATTAAATTATTGAAAGAAAGAGAAGTGAGAGGGAGAGAGTGTGTGAGTTGAAGACAATAAATATGGGTAAAATAAGAAATCAACACAAAAAAGTAGAGACAACTTTTAAGTGTCTCTTATATATAGGAACATGCCATAAGCATCAAATGTCTCTTATAATAAGGAACGGAGGGAGTATTAATTACTGCCGCCTTCTTCTTGGAAAAAATGACAGAAAAATCTTCAACAAACTCACAATTAACACAGCCTATACTAGAAATTCACCTTAAAAGCGCATCGAAGTACGAAATTCACAAATTAATTATTATGAATGTTTTCCAACTTGCCACTTAAATAAGAGGTAAGCACACAACAATTAAAGTTACTATTTTCACATCTACTCTATGCATGATTTGGACAAAAAGATGATACTCCTCCGGTCCTTAATATAAGACTCATTTAACTAATTTAACTAGATTGAAGAAGTTAGGTAAGTTAGTTAATTATAAGAAAAATAACAAATTTTTCCTAAAACAACATAATCATCTTTCTTAATATATGCTCTCCTTCTTCTATTTGATTATGGTTGACGGAGTATTTATAAGGATAATTTAGAAAAAATTGATAAATATAAGAAATAGGTTTTATATTTAGGATCAAAATCAACTCAAAAATTAGGTCTTATATTAAGGACCGGAGGAGTACATAACTTACCAACAACATGCAGATGATATTTATAACCTATTGTTTAGTACCTAGTTACAACAAAAAATTAAACATGAATATAATCAAGAATAACATAAACTGCCCATAGCCGTTCTTTTCCTAGCTAGGCTTGGCTGGGTATATGTCGAAGCTATTAATGGTAATTGAATAAGAGTATTAATTGAATAATAAAAAGGTTCGTTCCAATAATTAGGGTGAGAGAGAGCTAGATAGGACAAAGGTAAGCACATCCAAATATCAAATCCATCTCATACTATTTGATCCATCAGAGAAGATAAAAAACGAGTGGTAGCAGTACTGAACCCCTGATAATTGAGATTAATTAATGTCATGTGACCTTGAATAATTTAATTTGCACTTAACTAATCTCCTAATCAAAATACCTTTTCATTATTTGTTCAATACCTCCCACGGGGCGGCTTGGCACAATCCAGATGCCCCATAAAATCATTGGCTTTGAATAGGAAACTACGGCGGACTGGCTGAAGTGGAAAATATATATTAAAATAAGATGAGAAATATAATTAAATTGATGCATTTGTATAGATGAAATTTTTAAATTTACAGAACATAATATGACTTGCTAAAAAAAAAAGGAAGTTGGTTATATTTTTATTTTATTTTATCAGATTGGAAAAATATTCACAATTTTTTGAACATTCTGACTTAAAATCTCCGCCTCGATCTCTGCATCTGAATTTTCAGTGTAGGATCTCTCAAGAAATCACTACAAATTAAATCAGAAAACCTAAAATAATGACATAGGTTTCTATAATTTGACCCAATAATTTAGCTTCAATATCAAGTTAAGCAACATAAACGGAAAGCAAATATATATATATATTTAAAATAGTATCCAGACAATATTAACCCATCTTAATCCCTTAATTGAAGAGATAGAAGATACAATATTATATAAGATTTCTTCCCAGTAAGACATTATAAGATATTGCCTTCGCCAATATATATAATTACAGTAAATATATATTACTATCTTCAATGCTTAATATAAAAGCTAGTTTGACCTTTATTTTGATCATAAATACAAGATTTTAATATATTTTGTTTATCATATTTATTTATTTTTTCCCAATATAGTCCTGGTAGTAATAGTAGTTGTAGCTAATATAGTTGATTAATTAACAAGAATATTTAAGAAAAGTAATACCTATTTATCACAAATAACTAATTTAACTCATTTTCTTAATCCATTCAAATTAAACAACTAATTCTTATATTAAAGATGGAAGTTAGTATTAAAAAGCGACACCTTTACGATCTCACCTTCAACATTCATACGGCTGAGAGACCATTAGATGGGTCATCAAAATTTAATGAATCAGCTAACACTTTAATCTGTCTTTGTCAAGTGAGTAATTACGTATTATCAGTACCCTACTTGTCAACCACTTAATATGTAGTGCGTGTGCCATATGTGTCTTGATTCGATGCACGCATCTTCACTTTTTTTTTCATATTCATTTTCTTTTTTTCCTTCCCTAACCTCTCTTCCAGCTCTTCACTGCTTCTGCTTGGTGCTGTCATTTCCAATTTAAAGTACAACATCACTGACTAAAAAGAATGAGAACATTATAAACCATGTGAATTAAGTCTCACAACTTATGTTTTTTGGGCAACAGGAAGTTTAAATATTTATGAAATTCAGAATTCCTCTGGAAGAACTTAATATCCAGTTGTAACAATTTTCTGAATTCACTTATCATTTCAATAATTATTTAAAAACAAACTCTCATATGAACTGATATGATCAATATAAATTCTACAGGAAGCTGCAATATTCATAGGAAATGAACCGTGTCATTCATTTAAAACTCCATCCATCAAAAGTCCACAATTTACTTTTTGATCCTTTGTTAACTTAAGTACTTATATGTTGACAAAAGGGAAAAAAAAACTTCCATGTGTGTGCTGTAAAAGAATGAAGAAACTGATGCGACACACATAATATGAATGTGGGGGCAAAAGCTCTCATCAAATACGTTTTTCTTCCCAACAAAATCTAGGGCTTCTTCTTTGGTGGGACCCTTTAAGATTTGCTCTGTCACATACTTCTCTTTTCTTATATAATATCACCTACTCTTCCTCCTCAATCCCCCTAGCTTCTTCCCTTCCCCTAAGATTTCCCTTAGTTTCTCTTTTCTTTAAACCTCCCTGCAGCTTAATAAAATTACATCAATCAACTCATTGGAAGAATATTCATGAAGGAAGGTGGTAGAAAACATGGCGCAATGTCGCCATGTGCCGCGTGCAAGCTTCTCCGGAGGAGATGTGCTCAGGACTGCCTCTTTGCTCCTTACTTTCCTGCGGATGAACCCCACAAATTTGCAAGCGTTCACAAGGTTTTTGGTGCCAGCAATGTCAATAAAATGTTACAGGTTCAATTCTCTACTTCATACTACATATAATGTTATCATTTTCATTCAAAAATCATATGCAGAGTGGCGCTGTTTTATGTTAATTCAAGTCTTTTTCAGCTCTTGTTAGGTAATTAAGAAAAGGAATTCACTGTTTATGAAAAACTATTTACGACTTACTCCTTAAAATATGACCTTTACACTTCGGTTATGGTAAAAAGGGGAAGGAGAAAGTTTTCAACTGCCAGTATATAGTTATAGGTTTTTCCAGAACTACACCAGCAGGAAAAAAAATCTGTATTGTGTGTGTGAGAGAAGGGGGGGAGAGTGTGTGTGTGTATATGCATGTGTGGGGTCCTACTACAACGGTTATTTATTCAAACGTAACCCAAAACTGGACTTTTTCTTCATTCACTGATAGCAACTTCAAAAATTATGGCTTAATTGGAAGGATATTTCAGTGTGTGGCTGACATTAGATCATTAATTAGGCATATTTATGCTGTGTTTTCTAGCTCTTCTCTCTTGATCATCATTCCTTGATTTATACATATATAATATTATATATCCTGCTGTGTATAATCTTTTGTTTTGCTCACCTAAGGAACCTACCAAGGATGCATATATTATTGTTGTACAATGCTTTAGTTTGTCAGATTCTACGGGCTCTACTAATTTGTTTCTCGATCTCCTTAAATTGTAGAGCTAACTGCGGATTTCAATTTGTTTGGCTCTTGGTTTATTAATTTCTTTCTTAAGCAGCAAACTTACTTTAGTGAGCTCTTATTCCTTTCGGAGAAGACAGTAGTTATGCACCCAAAAAGAGCAAAGTAAAAGGGGGGGGGGAATCTTTCTTTTTGGTTTCTGCTCCTAGCGTCTGGTTCTGTTATAGTGGTTAATTACGGTTGAAGGCCCCACCCTTAATTAACTATAATTATCATTCTTCTTTATTAAAGTAAGCTGCTAACATTACACCAACTGATTCGTCAGCACACATATATAAAGACTAAAGAAAGATAACAAAGGATCGAGTATTGTAAATGAGCTTTGCTGCGTCTTGAAGAGATATTCTCAAATGGCAAGAGATTCTTTGTGTGGATGTGTAAGGGAGGGAGGTGGGGGGATCAATTATACTGTAGGTTAATTATAGAGTTAAATATATTCCAACTTTGTTAAATACCTACCTTCATGACCACCTCGTAGCTTTTTAGTCAAGACTGCTAGCTGCCTTGTTGTTCAATGTTGTCGTAGAAAGAAATTAAATTATTGACATGCTCATCTTTTCTTTTTTGTCTTCAAAACCATGGGTTGCATTGATAGGGACTCTTTATAGAGCACACGCCCAAAAGAGACGTTGATTTTCAATAAAACACTCGCACATATTTATTTTTTTTTGCAAAATCTTTGTAATATATGAAATATATAGAAGTATTTATTTTGTAAGCGTGACATCTTGATGACATCTTATATATCATCTCCCTTTCCTACCCATCTTTTGTTTATTTTAGTAGGCTAAGATGCATGTTGACAGACTAAGCTCTAGCTGATTTTAATCACAAACGGATAGATACATATTTTATATGATAACAGATATTAGAAAACGTTACTTCTTCTAAAAAACAACAAATAATGGTAGAATCAATTGATTTGTAAATATTAAAACAAATAATGGTAGAATCAATTGATTTGTAAATATTAAGGTCAAATCAATGTATAGCGTTGCCCATCATAACTCTGAATTCCAGCATGCGACCGAGAAAATAATTGCGGGGTTAACTTTTGGTTCACGAAACAATCCAAATTTCAACACGGCTTCACGTTCCAGTCCATTGAACCGTTCAAAGAAAAGCTAAAGTCAAGACAACATAAATAATCTTGTAGCTAGCCAGCCACTTATCTACTATATCTTCTTTCGGTCCAAAATTAGCAAGCACACAACTTTATCATCTCCGAGACAGATATGGAACTGCTTTTTGACTAAGCTAAGGATTTGTTTCCAATCAAACCAAGCATGCAGCCTCTAGCTAGCTAGCTAGCTTCCCCTTATGGCACAAGCTACATATGTGCTTCACATGGATGTTCATAGCCAAATGTGATCATGTCTATTATTTTTTTCCCCAAGTATGTAATTGTGAGTGATTATATTGTAGCATAAGTGTATTGAAAATGATGCATGCAGGAACTGCCAGAGGAGCAAAGGAGCGACGCGGTGAGTTCAATGGTATATGAAGCAAATGCGAGGATGAGGGACCCAGTGTATGGATGTGTGGGGGCCATATCGTGTCTTCAGCAACAGGTCGATGTGCTTCAAACACAACTTGCTCTTGCTCAGGCTGAGCTTGTTCACATCAGAAATCACAACCAACCTTCTTCTTCCTCCTCAACCCAACCCCAGTCTTCTTCCCATGACGCCAAGTCCTCTCTTTTTGCCGTCGACAATGTCACCGAGTCCTTGTGGTCTTGCTAATGAAAGACACAAACAGAGATGGAATTAAGTGATGTTTCACCATTCTCTTTATCTCTCTCTCTCTCTCATATCACTGGACCATGCATGCGGTGGCTAGCTAGATTGAGCGATTATTTGGCTGATTACTATAGCTAGATTAGTTAAGCAGCAATAAGGAGAATTAGATGTATATGGGGCATGCTTTGTTTCATTATTATTGTAATTATTACTATCACGCCTTTGCTTTCAACTGTTTGCCTCCTTGTAGTTATTTCTACACCTTCTGCTTTACTCTGTATTTGCATCCCTCTCTTTTATTCCGCTGACTGATCTATTTGCATAACCCTGGATGATCGTGATTAATTATTAACCTCAATGTAAATTATCAAACTTGTAATTATTAGTAATCATATGTTTGTCGTGTGTCATCTGTGTATCAATTAATTTGACCCTCGCACGTCTTGTTTTAAATTGTTATTATACGATTTTTGGAAATCAAAACTTTTATATATACACAAAGAGTCAAAAGAATGAGAAAGAAGCCACATGGAAAGAAAATTTTAATTACTACTTCGAGTTTTTAATATAAGAATTAATTTAACATTCATTTTGATTTGATTCTAAGTATATAACTCCAATGTATTTTATCTCTTATATTTATTTATTTTTTTAAAGTAATCCTTGTAGTAGTTATAGGTTTTATCAAATTATAATTTTAGCTTATACACATGATAAGCAAGACTATTCTAAAAAAGATAACACATATTTATTACAAATAGCTAACTGAACAAATTTTTTTAATCAATGTAAATTAGTTAATTAGCTCTTATTAAGGATCAAGGGTAGTAAAACAATAGCCAATACTTTGTCCATTAAATGTTAGGCCTTTTTTATATATTTGAATTTTTTAAATTCCCAAATATATACATAATTAATTAAGCTAATGTTTCAAATAATAACATTCAGTCGACAAAGTCAATTAAGCTACAATAAATTTACATTATTTTAGGGTCTAACCAACATATATATACACCTACTAATAATTTCTAAACAAATTAATAATTGATATGCTTATGCTTTCAAAAGTTATGATCGGCGTGAGATTTATATTATGATGCTGTTTTCTTCTTCTGTTCTGTTGGGTCCATCATACTGTTTTGAGTTCCTTTTGGGTGACAAGGTGACAGTTCTTCGGCCTGCTGGTTTCCCAGTTTAAGAATTTCTTTTCAGCGTAAAAAAAAAAAAAAACTGATTAATTAGGTGTGCTTGGGAACACATAATATAATCACATCATCATCGTAATAACAACAATAACAACAAGTAACAATAATAACAATAATCAATCACCTACTTTTACCGAAGCATGCTGTTGTCCGCCATAATAATATTGAAAAGTTTTACAGCTATTGTACGGAATGGTGAAAAACATTTCATCATCATCGGCCGTCAAAGCAAGTAATACCAGCATCAAAACCATAATTATAGTATACCCCAATGAGATTAATTAATAAGCTACCACTACCAATATAATAATGAACATGATTAAGGCTCTCCCTAATTACTAAGCCTTGGGCGCATCTTAATTATGACTTATCATTAACAACATTCATCAGATGACTCGAAGCTTTTAATTTAACACACACTATGTATAGGAAACTAAATGATGAGCCCTCCAAGCCTTAAATTATTGTTATATAAACAAGCATGCTATTAATTAGTTCTTTTGAATCCAACTCTATATGGTGTAAACAAGCATGCTATTAATTATTTTCCTATTTCGCCGAGAATAAAATATTGAGCTTTTTAATAAATTTCACTTCCTTATTAATTAACCCATACAGTCGTTGAGTGAGTCATTTTGTGTGTTAATATATACTCCTCCAGTCTTTAATATAAGATCTAATTAAGAAGTTAATGCTGGTCCTATATGTAAGATCTATTTCATATGTTTATTAATTTTTTTGTTAAATCAACCCTATTCATATTCTTCTAACAATAATCAAGTAGGAGATGGAGGCAGGAAATTAAGAAAAATACTTAGTGTGTTTTACAAAATATTTATAAGATTAACTAATTTAACTAACATTCTTAATCTACTTAAATTAGTTAATTAGATCCTATATGAGGAGTGCATAATACTAATAATTGTACGAACTTTTATATCTATTTAATTTCCTCCCAGCCAATACGATAAAGTGACCCACTTCCGATATTTTCCCATAAAGCGTGAAAGGAACATCGCAACAATAATCTAATGCACCAAAAGATCAATCCCAAGACCAATTTGTCCATCATCAATAATTTTAAAATTAAATCACTATCTAATCTGTTCATACTAATGGCCAATCACGGAGATCCTTCGAGCTTTGGCGGGTTTATTGCAAATTCTGAAAATTTCGAAGAGGGATCAAGACTTGGTGGAAAATTATGTTTATTTTCTTCAGTGTACCAAAATGCTCTGCCTCATCATCGACGTCGGAGCCAGCAACTCCCTCAAACAAAAACGTCTCTACAAAAGCAGAAGAAGAAGAAGAACTCCATGATCAACGGGGAGGGGCATTTTTGTCCACCCAAGAAAATAATTTTCCCCCTCAAAGACGTTGATTCTTCTTTGAGATTTATGAAAGTTGATGATGTTTAAATAGTTAATTACATATAACTAAAAGTCTGGGAGATTCTGAAAACGTCATTTTCCCAATTCAAGCAGTGTGGGCACGCGGTCTCTTATGAGTTTACGGGCAATAATTCAGTCGGTCGTCAATGTCAACCGAACAAGTCATATGGTTGTTTACAAAGGCCCAAAAGCCTATCTTTCTTTATGGACTCAATGGCCCAAAACCTCAATCTTGTTCACATTTCAAAGAACACAGACTGCTTTCTGGGTGGGTTAGGCTCTGTTAGGCTAATTTTAAAGTTCAAGTGGACGCTCTCAACGAATATTAAAAAAAAAGAAAAAGAAGGGACAAACACAAAGTTGAAATGGACCTTTTGTTTTGCAGAAAACACAAAAGACGTTCCCAACACTGCTCATAAATAAAGGCCAATCAAACCATGAAGGTTGATAGTGAACAGGCATTAGGAGGCGTTTGGATGAGTGAAAAAGTATTTTTTGAAAGTATTTTTTCAAAAATTAAAATAAATTCATCCATATATTTACTTTGTACATCGTAAAAGTATTTTTAAAATCATGATTTCGTTTTCACTTAAATACTTTTTAGATTGGTTGGGCTGCGAAATCTCAAGTTTCCTTGTTTTCTCCCATGATTCTTCACCCGTTGTAGATTCTTCTTCACAATCACAATAAGGGATGATTATTTTGGAGGAACATAGATTTTTACAATGTATTATGAATCTGAATTTGTATAATATATGAATTCTTGTACGTGGCCCATTTTGAAAATCAACATTCCGCTAGAATTAAAACTATAGGAATAGACAATGGGAGGGATTGCGTCTGCTAACAAATTAGGAAGTGCGAGATTTCCTTTTTTTTTTTTAATAATTGAAAAAATAGGACAAATTTCTGAAATGAAAAAAAAAAAAGTAGAAGAAACTAGAAAGCATCATTATTTCAGTGTCCAAACATGCCCTCCTAGCTCGCAACATTGTCTCAAACATGTCCTCCTCATTTATTAAGCCATATATAAATCCATGCCAAATCTGGACTATGTGTAGTAGATATTTTCAGTCTAAGAAAAATAATTGTGTTTTGGAAATAAAAGGCATGTGAGTGAAATTTTAATGTTAAAAAAATTGCATATGCTTTTCAAAGAATATTTTGGGAAAAATGCAAAGAGGTAATTAAGACCATATGCCAAATCTTCTTGTTTAATCTGTGGCATTCTTTTGTTCTTTGTAAATTATACGTGGTTCATATAAAAGAAATCATGAGATAAGGCCATTTATATTGTCACCGACAAAAAACACATTTTGATTCCAACTTTTGCGTTACTTTGAAAGAGAAATAGAATGAAGCAATAATTGGCCTTCAACTATTTCAACATGTTGAGGCCAAAGATTAAAAAAAAAAAAAACTATTGAACATGTTTCCAGTTCATCATATCTGCTGCTCTCTTGATCCGGCCACTTCACTAGCTCCTCACTACTTATTTTGCCCTCCTTTCACTTGAAGGGACACCAAACTTTAATCACTTTTATTTTGACATTAAATTACAAACACTTCTAAGCTTAATACGTAACGGTAACAATGACCCAAATTTACCCTACTTTATTACTTATGTTGAATTCCGATTATTATAATTTGTACACACACACACACACACACATAAATTTATAAGAGCGAAATTCCAAATCAAAAGTATAAGTGTGAAAATGTATACAACTCAAAATCTTGAGTGAGAGAGAATGATTGAAAAGCATAGTGGATAATGGCATGTGATAAGAGGGGACGACTTAAAGAGGAGAAATGAGAGAATAATGTTCGATTCACTATATATGTTAGTGCTTTCTTACGATTGGGAGAAGCCTTGCTTGTGACACCCACCCATTTGCCTTTTTCTTTTCGTTTCTTTTGTGTTTCCTGGTTTCCTTTATTTCCACACACACACAGTACTCTTAATAATAGTCTCTCTCTAATTTGTATGTAGCTGTAAAAATTTGGAGAATTGGAATCATTCTCATTCATCTTGATATATGGAGAATGGCAATATTTAGTTTGCTTGGGCTTCCTAGTTTGACATAGCGATGCCATTTCTGTCATCATCAGTACTGCAAACACCAAAGTATATATGTTTTGCATGAAAGTTTACTTACCCTCTACCTCTTTTCTTTTACAGTTACTCGGAACAAGCATCATGTCCACCACACAACACACACTTATTAAGGTCTTTTCACCCATATTGAGACAAGGAAAATCCGAAGTATAAAGTTACATTATAAGTAGCGTGAATAAATAATAACGGTAATGACCAAACTACAGAAGTTCAATAAAGAAGAACAAAGAGTTTGAATATTCCAGATAAAAGTGAATATATATATATATATATATATATATATATAGGCATTCACTCATAAATTGGGGTTCGAACATATATATATATATATATATATTGTTGTGCATGCATGCTGACCTGCACATCAAAACTACTTCTCATCTGTGCTGCACGCATGGCAAATGCATGCCCAAAGCAAAATAGAAGATTGATGAGATCCTTATTAAAATTACGTTTTACTTTTAACTTGATTATTATTAAAGTATGACATGCATGGTAATTAACTTGAGTTGTTAAAAAAGGATAAGAGTGCAATTTTGACCCTAACCTTATTTCTCAAGTAAAATTTTATTTTTGATCTTTTTAGCAGTGCTATTTTAATCCTCACTTTACTTTTTAGGTACAATTTTACTTCTGATACTTTTTTTTAATGCAATTTTACTCCAAAAAAATCAAAATCAAAATTACACATGACAAATGAGATTGGGGTTAAAATGATACCTTTACCGTAAAAAAATCCACATTAATTAATTAATGAATCTTGGGATTCCCAACTCCTGCATCTATATATAGCCATCCGATCAAGGATCTATCATGCATACATGGCATAGTTTATGGTAATCAGCCCATGTTTGACTAGCATGCTTTCTTTGGTACTCATATATAGCAGTAGAGGACACACACACACACGCGCATATATATATATGTGTGTGTGTGTGTGTGTGTATTCCAAACAAATTGGTTCCCCAAAATTTTGAGGTTATTTTCCGGCCGGCCCCTACTCCACCAATGAACACGTTCTGAATCATAAGCACTCAAAGCACCAACTATGTCATAAATCAAGCAAACTAGATCATAAGCCCGCATACTTCACATAATGCTTGAGACGATGAGTTGCATATATAATTATGAATGTCACTTCGTATATGTATCATTATTTTTATAGACCAAAGTTATATAGTCATGTGCTTTAGATGATAAACTTATTATCATATATATATAATTTTAACTAACTTAAAAATGTTTTTTAGAATTTAATAACTACTACAAATCAATATAATCTTGAATTTTTCATAGATAGAATAACCCAATAGATATTAGAGATGAACTGGAAAGATACCAGACGAGGCTATTTGTATAACTCAAAAAGTCTTGATTGAACATGCATGATGGGGGAGTGAGTGGGGGATCACAGCTGGGAAAACGACACCACTAAAAAAACTCCGATATGAAGTTGACATTTCAAAGAGAAAATCATTAATGTGATATCTGAAAAATGATGAACAGCCCAAATAGCCGTAGGGATAAAAGGAACAAGGCCTTTGGACATGTAGGGGCCAACCCATCAATTTTGGAACGTAACAGTCACGAGCTCCATATGTGACCTATACTTAGTCGCATGCATAATAAGGAGCACACTTATGACTTTGTACATCAGATGCAGACTAGGAGATTTATAGAGCTCTGCCTAGCTCGTAATCATTTCTTGCTAACAGTGTTTATCATGAAAGCGACATTTATAATATGTATGTAAGAATTTCGCTCGATTTTCTCTAATTAATCACAATTGACTAATTAACACGTCCAACAAAATGTTCTTTATATATTTGTGGCTATTTTTTATTTCCGGCTTGGTTATCTTCAAAACTATCTATCTATTTGTATATATTCTTGAATTTCGAACAAGGTATAAAAGCCATTGATTTAGATGCCATTTCAGATAAGAATTGCATTCTTGGCGTGGCATTATACCTGGGAAGGAATTAGAATTCAATTCTTTAGACATCAAGACTCTGCTATCCCACTGAGTACTATGCAAGCTCAATCCACTACTGTTGGAGTTTTTCAAGAGTTCCTTATGTCCACGAAGCTGAAGCATATTATAAGGTCACAAGTACTTTCACATCAACTCCACTATTAGTGTGTGTGAAAGTACATTTGAGAAATAGAAACTCCCACTAATTCTCAATTTAACACTAAATGAACAAGCATTTGTTTATGTTCTATTTGTTTCAAAAGTAGAAATCTTGGGACCTTCTCGTTTGATCACGTAATTATCAAGGAATTGAGGCGCTTTTACACTTTTTTCCTTGTGTGGGGGCTTTGATCATCAAATTCCGATAACATTTTCAGGCTCTTTTCAAAAGTAGAGGAACTTTAAACCGATTCCAAACATTTTAAATATAAAAAGTCTAAATTAAACGCAACAAGTAGTTCTCATCCAGTAAAAAAATTCCATAAGCTCTATGTATGAATGGTGAGCCATCTTCTTACATCATATTCCACTTCAATCTCTAGCGAAGTTGTCTTTTAATTTAATCATTCAGCGGCCAATAATGAAAGATCACCCTTCTAATTTCATCTTATTCCGATGCACATAAATACTTGATATCTAAATAAAAACAAACTAGGAACAATCTACGTAGGTTGGTTTCTGTGATCTTTTGTGGGGGTTGTGGTTCCCCACCCCCCTTTGTAACACTACCAAGTGGATTAGTTTTGATTATTGTGACTAGTTTAAGTCTGCTATGATCATTTTACTTCCTAGAACCCATCATATGATAAGATTTTATTATTATAGGAAGGGTTCTATGAGTTACAGTCAGATATATATTTATATATATATTATTGGGGTTAATTAGGTTCGATGGAGTGTTTTTAAACTACTATCCCCGATTTGCCACTATCATGGTAAATAGGAAGCTGTTCAATACTCTTAATCATCAACAAAGCGTTAGCTTTCGTCTCGTCTAGTCTTAGTTGTAGCTAGTTTGGTTTTTTTTTTTTTTTTTCCTCTGTTGGGGTTTTACTGCTTTTAGTCAGTTACTACATATTTTGTGCCAGGTCTTGTTTGAATTGGTGCTTTTGTAATCGCTATTTCTTTCTAATGAAATATGTCTTTTGGTTAAGAAAGGGTCTCCTGAAAGGAAACCGTCTTTAAGATAAAATTTCTGTGTTTTCTTAATAGAAAAAAGGACGATGCTAATGGAAGGTAACTGTTCATTGTTTGTCTCACTTTTTCCTTTCTTTTCTCTTTTTACTCCTATTGAAATTACCATTTATATAATAAACTCTACAAATAGAGCATGAGAAAAAATCACTCAAACTTTGAAACCCTAGCGAGGTATAGTAGTAGATCCTCATATCTATTACCAATAATGGTGCTAGAATATTTGAGAACCAGCGAGCAACTCTGATTGATGGCTCTCAATAATCATCACGATGAGTGAATCGCATATAATGGCTCCAAATGTAAAGAGATCTATTAACAGTGACCTATGAGCTATATATATCGGAATATTTCTGTCAACTCAAACATCATCAAAGCCATCCTTTCGCGTATATATTTTTAACTTTAAGTCAATCAAACCCAAGTATCCAGTCAAAGTAGCTTAGCTAGGCACATTAGAATTCCTTAACAAAATTAAGATGCCTCCTACAGATCATCAGATCATCATATGAAGTAAAATTATATCCCCAGATCATTAATGGACAGCAGTTGGTTGCACCGCCATGCAATTAAAAGTTACATCTACGTGCTTAATTGTCAAAATTAAACACTATTGACTAATTAGTGAACTCTCTTAGCCTCCATCATCTTCCTACATATTCAAACCCTACTTCACACTATCATTTGGCGAAAAAAAAAAACAGAGAGAGAGAGAAGAGGGGGAGAGAGAGAGAGAGATAGCAGCCCACTATAGTTTATCATCAGCTTTTACTCGATCCACCTTCGTCGACGCTCTACATATCTTCAGACGAAGAATGAGATAGACACACCAAGCTTGCCATTGCCTCTTGCAACCAATCGTCCTCCTCATCATTGTTCTTTAACTGCAAATTATAATATCATTCGAACAATAAGTCTATTATGTATTATTTTGCATTCAGCTCTCATAAATAATATCATCCGATCTGGTATAAAATCTTTTGTCATCGGACATAATGTTTACACACACGCAACCATAAAATATAGTGACCTGAAATTGGACGGAATCATCGCCACCGTAAAGGTCCTGCTTGTGAGCAATACTCTCGTTCTTCTTCATGGTGATTTCATCTTCACAGAGGTCGTTGTTTCTAGCAAACCTTCCTCTAACCCTGACTCTCCGATCAGCTAGAGTTTTCCGACAAGCATACTGCATGTATTGTACAATATTATTAATTATTACGAACTCATGTTTTATATAAAAACAATATCAGTTGGCGTGTGTGTGTAATTAAAGAGGTGATATTAACCGCGAGCGAGCGAGCGAGAGAGAGAGAGAGAGAGAGAGAGAGATGAGAAAGACCTTGATGGTTTTGTTAAAGTTTCTTTGGTTCCTCTTCTTCAAATATCGGAGAATTCTCTCCTTCCTTTCTTCTTCTGAGTATCGTCCTACCTTTATGTTTGGTTCCTCGACTGCTGCTATCTGATTTCCTTGATATGATCCCTATATTTATAACAGGTCATTTCAAATGAAATCAATTTCAATAACCCCCATAAGATTTACTCATATAAAACCAAAATAAAATAAAACAATCGTGAAAAATATGCAACGAAATTCTGTTTGTGTGTTAGAAGGAAGTAGAGAAGGACGGATGATACATCCATATTGCACGACAATTTTCTGTTGTTCAGTTCCTCTTCCTTTTCAGAGTGATTAGCTCATCATATGCTAATAAAATTAAAAAATCGGTTCCTGATTAATTATGAGTTCAGAATGAATATAAAATTAAGCACGCACCCACTTTTCTGCTGCAGAATTTGGATAGGAAGGTGGCTTCATAATATCCTCCACAAACCCGCAACATTCTTCCCCAAAATCACCCAGATGGTGAGAGGGTTTGTATCCGCCACCGTTCAGGCTCTGAAAACCGCCATCAGCGCCGCCATAAATCACCGGAATGGTGGCCAAGTCCGATAAGCACCCTAGCTGATCAGAAAACGTTGGAAGCCAAGACGAAGCCATAGTATCACAGTCCAATACTGAAGAAGCATGATCGAGCGCTGCACCATTGGGAATATTGCTGAAGCTATCGTGGTGACCGCACATTCTATTCTCTATAACCGAGAAATTATTAACGTTTCCATTAATGGCTGCAGCTTGGGTTGGAAACTCTGGGTAATCACTGGGGAATATTGTGTAGTTTGAATAGAATTGAGGAAAAGCAGCCATTGAAGGAGACAGAGGCATGAGGAAAATATCTTTATGACTCTTTTGAGTTAATTTTTTAGCCTTTCTTTAGCGTGGTGCTTTCAATTATATATATAGAAAAGTCGGGGTAGTACGGTGGGTTGATTAGGCCAAGTTGTTGAGGAAGAAGCACGTGACCGAGTGGCTTAGACTAAAAATAGCTAGTCAGACAGCTTGGATACTTAATGACCTTAACTATCACTCTTTTAAGTTTTATTTTATGCTAATTCTTCTCTTCATTCACTGTGTGAAATTAAAAAAAGTTTGGATACAAAATAAACTTAATCATCATCACCTTTTTTAGGTACACTTATGCATTTTAATTGACAAGTTGTTGCCACAATGCCACTGACAACTTCGATCGAAGCAATATATTGAATTAACACAATCAACTTAATTCCTTTTTTTAAACAAGAGATAATTTAGTTTAATTAGCTAGTATTTAGCTCAATATAATACACGGTAATGACTTCATCTGAATATTATATTTTAATTAATTTTTTTTCTTTTTATATTATGAAGGAAAAAAATATAGGAATCAAACCAAATACTTTTAAGTATCCCTTGAACTTCAGTACAGGAGAGGTGCCACTTTAGCTATATTCTGTGTTTTTTGGTGTATAATAGTATTTTTAATATAGAAAAATCCATCAATTTTTTAAATTGAATATAAAAAAATCCATCAATTTTTTAACTTAGAGTTTAAATTTTTAAAGCGGAGAATGATATCAGAAGTTATACATAATCTGAAAGTATCTGATAAACTTATAGGAAATATTAAAATTGTTATAAGAGCGGTGATGCTATATATATGATAGAAAATGCTAACCATTAAATCAGCTACATGAATAACAAATTTGGGTCAGAAATTAAGATGTTGTGATGATTGTATATTTTACTACCTCCTGTCCTAATGATAAGATCTCATTTGTAGTTTACAAATGAGATCTTATAATTAGGACAAAGATAGTCCATATAAGAAAATGAGATTCATAGTGGTTATATACAAGCGCAAAAAAATGATTACATACGAGGAACAATTGGCGGGGATTTTAGATTTATGAAGAAATGCATTAAATTGATAAAAACGTCCAATTTTATTCTTATTAAAGTTTTTTTTATCTCTCTATATTTACAAATCATTCTCATATTTATCATTTCTTTTTTTTTACTTTTCAGTGAGAATTAAATACATATTTATTACTTTTTTTAATGAGAATTAAATAAAAGTAAAATTAGAATACAAGATCATTAAATATATTACAAGTGACTCACACTTAGGTCCACAATTTTTCCTACAGATGACTTGTATTTATGACTAGAGTGGTAAAATGGTTTTGATTCTTATAAAAATAAGTAGACAAAGATCGAAAAGAACATGATTCTTATAAAAATAAGTAGACAAAGATCGAAAAGAACATTTAAAAAAGTTAGTGAACGATATTTTTTTGGTAAATGATACATGTAAATTCAATAGTGCAAGATCTTCATTCATCATCTAACTCCCACCTAATAGGATAATGTTTAGGAGTAAGGTGTATTCAATACCTCAAAATATTTTGTTTAGTACGTCCAGTACTCCGAAATATTTTGTAGTGTGTCCAGTATCCTGAAATATTTTTTAGGTGCATCCAGCATTCTAAAATATTTTGTGGTATAATTTTGCTCTTAAAGTATTAATTATTTCATGAATAATTTTAAATTCATCATTAGTTCCTCAAAAAGTCCATTAAATGAATGCATATTAAGTACCATGAAGCATTTTTCAGGTTGTGGATGTACCTAAAAAAATATTTCAGAGTACTAGCTGCACTACAAAATACTTCAAAGTACTAGACACACCTAAAACAAAATAGTTCAAGATGTTGGGTAAATCACAAAATAATTTAGGATATTGATCGTATTTAGCAAAATATTTTAAGATACTGGACATACTTTAATACTAATGTTTATTGTTGTTATTATTTTTTCCCTCATGACGCGTAAAGCAAAGTGAGCATTAATCAACTAATTAACTAGTGCGTATTTGAGGGCTATGAAAAGTTCAAAGATCATTCTTTCTTAGTTTCCTATTAATTAACTAATCAACAGTTCAAATTTTGTAAAAAAAATGAAGTTTATCAAAAAGAGACTTTTTCGGATAATTAGCATCAAGTTGATCAGTAATTAGAATGTCGTTATATACCTTTGTCTTTATTTCTCATAATTTAAATTGTACATCAATTCAATCCCAATCAGCCCCCAAAAATATTTGGATCGATTCTATTTTATTAATGAAAATTACAAGTTTGTACACTTATAATAATGTCTCCTTTTCAAAAAGTGTATATATACGTACAGGACATGATGTTACCGAGCCACTATGAAGCCCTTAAAGTCAAAATTCAATCTTATCAAAAGTTATAACTTGAAAAGAAAAAATATACTATAACTACGGACATTGAATGCAACCGGGAATTTTATTTTATTTTCAGAGCCAACTAAAGAACTCAGTAGAGGAAAAAGGGCTGAAGAGACCTGAAAAAGTATATTGTAGTCAGGGTCATGTGCATATATACTGTATATATATTCCTAATAATTATAGAGTTTACGTGTTTCAATTAAAGCTTTGTATCGATAAATACTTGAAAAGATACAACCTAGCTACTCATAGCCTCAGAATCAAGCACATGCGATTGTTATATTTTCGGTTAGCAAATCAAGTACATGATATCTAACCCTTCTCGACCCAAAGTTTTCATCAAATCATTTATTTCCCCTATATTTATATGTGTTATATGTATAATACCCACCATTTATTTATATATGTCCAAACAAAAGAAAAAGAAAGTTTTAGCTTTGGCGTATACAACAATTCGTCCCAAACTGTGTCTTCGAAGGACGGTTAGATGGACACTTCATGTGTACTATATATATCTTGTGGGACATATTCATGTTGTTGTTTTGCATGTGCTCAATATGAATTCTTTTGATCATTGAAACTTAATTTCAATTAATTACTTTCTCCCTTTAAATTTTATGGGATTTATTACGGGAAGCTCAAATCATGGAACGATTTATTTGAGTTCATCCTATAAGTCCCACTTCTAATTGCCATAATCCAAATTGAAATCACATCATTCTTCACGTTATGGGGTTTACAATTGTCTGCAACTACAACAATATAGCTAATGTCATTTTTTATCCTGTTGAATGATGAATATGAATTTTTATTTGGATGTAAAGCTGAAGATGTCTTCTCTAATATATGGATCATCTAACTGATAAGTTTTAGTAGATGATACAATATTCTAATCATGCTTTCTATCTTTGTTGGTGAACACATAGGTTTTGTTTTTAATTTTGATTTAGGTACAAATTTAGTCATAATCTTATTTCTGATATACACCCAATATTCTGATCTTTTTAGCAGTGCAATTTTACTCATAATTTTTTTTTAGCATCTTAAAAAGATTGGGATACTTGAAAAATAAGATAGGGGTAAATTTTACACTATTTACCTCCAAATTTTTGTTCGCGAGACAAACCGTACAGTGCACGGGGCTGACCATATAATTCTATTTTAAAAGCTCAAAATTTTTTTTATAAAAATTGTAGGTGTTTTATACCATGTTTGATATAAAATGTTATTGGATCATATTCAAATATTATTTGAGCCTTCAGTTCAAAAACGGAAAAACTATTTCAGCCTAATATATTAGTAAGGTATTAAAACATTTTGAGAATAATATGTTCTTAAATTTATTATTAGTAGTTTTCTTAGAATCTAGTCTTAAATCTATGAAACTTTGTAATACGAAGTTTGTAAGTATTTTCATAAATGAGTGTTACATAAAACACTTATTTGTAAAAATAATTCTAATTTCAAGGATACTTTTATCTAACTAATTAACATCTAGATTTTCAAATATAATTTTTCTACATTATAGAGGCCAAGTATGTATTTTCAACATATACATCTTGTAAATAATAAGGACAAAAATAGGTGAATAAGTTGTGAATCTATATAGCAATCATTTTAAAATTCTTTTTGACTAAGATGATATGTATAGAAGTGGTGGTGGTATATTAATTACAAGTAATGTAATTAGTTAGCTACATATATATATATATATATATATATATATACACACGCAGAATATATAGACACACACACACACAAATATAATGGAAAAAGCATCTGTAACAGAATATTGTCATATATATGTTTGTCCAAATAATGACTAATTGATTGATTGAAATAATGAATCAAAATCTTTAATTGTATCTTTAATTTCAAGGTGCGGTTTTTTGCATATCTTCCTGTCACCTACACAAATCACACATCTTTCATCTTTGCTTCTGCTTTTCATTTTTCTTTAATTAGTTTCATATATTAAAGTTTGCGTATATGGCTATTTTAATTTGATGAAGTAAAATTAAAAAGTTATATGCACATAGCTCTAATAAACATTGGTGAATCTTTTAATTAATTTTATAAGGTGTCTTGAAGTCCGGTAGCAGACTAGCAGATTGCTTATCCATATCCATATTAATTACTAAAAAAAATAACGGGATGGATCATTGTTTTCCCCCCCCCCCATGCAAGTAGGTGATAATAAAATAATAAAACTGGAAAATAGTCAAAGAAAGACTTGATTTCCGTTAATAAATCAAGGGGAAAACTTTATAAGATAAAAGGGTATCAGGTTCAATTCAAAAGGTATATATACAATAAGAAAACATATGCATATGCTATGCATGATCGATGTTTAATGTTGTTATTTGAAAAGATTCCTGGCTTGCCTTCCTGCCTCAATTCACAGCCGTCTCTAAAGCAAAACAACATCAACTTGGTCACCCACATTTTTGGACAATTCTATAAAGTTCCAAACACCATCTGTATAAGTTATATGCACATCATCAATGTTTTCAAACCCTATCATCATCATCATCAATGATCAATACAATACATGCAAAATTATATAAAATATACTGCTTTCGATAGATAAAACATATTGTCACAGGTCTTTTCAGTAAGTTACAGTTTTTTAAATAGGTCTGGCCCTTTTTATAAATAATTAACATAACTAATTTTTTTTTAATCCTAATGAATTAGCTGAAAAAATCCTATATTTAGGACACGACCAGAAGAAGTATAACTTACTCTTTAAACTTCATATTCCTCTGGTCTTATATATGTTAGTCATTTTTCTAAAAAAAGTTTAACAATCCAAGATTCATGACACTTTGCAAGAGAGCTTGTAGAACATTAATTATTTTATTTCAAAATTATCCTTCTTGTTAATATATAATGAGGAATTAGAGAGAGATGTGTTTTTTCAAATTTATGATATATATAGATTAGGGGTAATCGTAGAAACCAAATAATTTTTAATAATGAAACCATTTTTTTTAAATTTTTTTGGTGATATAGTTAAAAGTTAAAAAGTGGTTTATACATATCAAGGACATGAAACAAATAGTATAATGCATGATGAAACATGTTTAACCTTTTTTGGGATGAATTGTCTAAATTTAGTCTTGATGAGGATAAACTTGGAGAATAAGCTTGAGGGAAAATCTGAGGAGTGAGGAAGGTAATGGGGACAAAGAAAAAAGTAAGAGGTAGAGAAAGGGAAAAAGGAAGAAGATGAAGTTCGCGACAGTACGTAGTATCAGGTGCCTCTGCTTCTTTTTCTTTCCAACTCGCATCCCACAAAATAACTCATCAAACCTTTTTTTTATCATTGTTTCTCGTTTCCCACTTGCTTCTGTTCCACCTTTGGTAACAAATATCACTATGCTCAGCTTTCATTATTTAAATTTACGTTAAGATTCATTCAACTTCATCTTTTCTGATCTGATTCATCCTAAATCTTATCTTAATGGATAAATATTTGGATCACCAACTCGTGTGTTCCCAGTTCCCCATCAAACAAAACATAAATGAATATGCACAATTATTTTTATGCCCTTAAATTATCCCCTCTAATGCGATGGATTAACCTTCTGATATAAATTATTCCTATAAGATAGTAATTGTCCAAGTCTAAAATTCTGGCACGAATTAATTATATACCACAAAAATGAACTGATTCATATGTTATCTTTATACATACATACATACATACATACATACATACATACAGATCATGTACTTGCTTTAAAACCACGCAATATTGTTGATATGATGTTAGATTACTGGAAAAGATGAGAATTTGCTTTTGTCGATTATTGGAAAAGACATACTGATTACCAATAATCCAACAGACCAAGGCAACATGGTTGAGTGTCAAAATTAAACTAAACAAACGAATAATGATTGTGAAAATAAAAAAAATGATGATTGAGGAATTCACCTTGATAGCAGTTATAATACAAATTTTGAGAAATTATAATTTCCTTATAAATTACAGGTAATGGGGGAGCTTTAAACATGAATTGTAAAGTTTTAGAAAAATCATAGTCAAATTTATGAAAATTAAAACTTTAAACAACTTTGATAAAGAGTTTAGATAAAATCATACGCAGATTATTAAAAATCTGATAATAACCTTTAGTCCTTTAGAGTAGTAGTAATTTTTAATACCCTTCAATGTAATGCCTGTCCAGTTTAGATCCTTCGTTATAAATTTTCCACAATGATAAGATGTAGGATTGACCAGAACCTATGGAGAAAAAGGAAACCATATCTAAAATTAGGTGACGAACAATTCAAATCTTAATGAATATCTTTTCCCCAAGTGGGTGAGGAGCCAGCAAGATCATGTTGGTGCAATGGTGGGTGTTGCAAGTGAATCTAGAGCTGATTTTGGAGCATAAGATCACCACGGCACCTTTTCCTGTTTTCCCTCATTTTTCCAATCCCAATATTATTCTGTTCCATATTACAACACTTTCTTTGTATCTCTCTCCCTGCCTCTCTTCCTCTTCAACCCGAGATCCCTCTGCCCAGAGATTTGTCATTCTTTTCATTTACAGGATCAACTTTCTCAGGCGACTCAGAAAAGGCATGCAACCTTTGTCTAAAGGCTATCAGAATACTTTTATTCTTCACTCTTTTTGAACTGTACATGAGAAGATTAGTTCAGCTGGAATAACCCAACTGTCCAGAGACCAAAATATTGCTCCTACATGCCCTTATAAGCAAATAAAATTGAGCATTAGAATGCTTTCTGTACCATTTGAACTCCAGTTATAAAATCATTTCACTTCATGTTTTACTGCTCGGTAGCCAGGAGGGAAGACTACTATAACTTATTTGATTATCATCTCCTTGTTAGACCTCTAACCTCCAAAATGAAGGCTAGCTTCAATTCCACCACTTAAAATCTCAGATTATCTTTAAACCACACTTGAGATAAGAGAAACCACACTTCATTAGATTCTTAGATTCAATCTATCAAAAGATAATACATCAAACGATCATACATATCATGTAACACTCTGTACCAGAAAGTGTGCATGACATGCTAAAGTCTTAGTTGTAAGTAGTTTGGTCAACCTATTTTTGGAAGACAGAAGAACTTCCAGTCATGACAACTATGGATTCCGAAGCACAAGATCAGCAACATTTAACGCCTGAATCTTGTAGGCTATGCAATTTTACTGCACACTCAGATTCAGCCATGACAAATGGAAGACAATACTCTCGTCAATTGGCCACCAAATAGAAGGAAAAGAAAGTTTACGGATTGAACCAAGAGCGTTTCCCTTCACGTACATTTTGAAAACAGTCAAATAGCAGTTTAGCCTGCTAAGCAGTGAGCATGTCATGCGGCAGATGATATATCTACATAGCATTCAACAATGAAGCCTAGACGAATGAAACATACAGTCATCGCAAATTCATGACTCAGATCAATGCTATCTTGGATTCTGATCACAGTAAGAAGCAGGTCATAGAACATCCACTGGAAGTCAAGGTTGATCCATAAGCTGCCAAATAAATTATCAAGTAAATAGGAATTAATCACTGCAGTTCAAGGTCGGGTAATTATCCAGAGATCTTAGCATTGCCAGTTACTAATTGGGAACAGAGTGACTATAAACCACAAATAAATTCAAAGGAGCATAATTACATCAGCGGAAATATTTGGTTTATTCTCACCAAAAAAAAAAGTATTTGGTTTATCCCTTTTTATGCGACTCTTTTTTGTTCAGTAATTGAAATATTGAATGTGAGCTTTCACATTAATCTTTAAAATGGGTTTTTGAATCTTGGTCTCAAACCAAACATCAAAAGCTTTACATTGTCCCATGCATCTTGTTAATCAATTTGGTCTCAGTTATAGTGTTTATATGGTCCACGTATTAATGGGAACACATACCTCCCATGTAGGCAATAAATATGCACCAGAAATGTAGAAAAATGTTACTCACAAAAAGTCTATGAAAATCTGCAGGTAAAGTTATATTAATAGATAGATTAGGATCGTTGAAAGAAGGCTCATGATAACAGTCTGCCAACCCAAAAAAAAAAAAAAACAAAAAAAAGAAAAGAAATCTGATAATGTGATGCCAAAGATATATTGTAGAGACAAAAGGCCAGCCTAACTAATGGCGTATCAATAAGTGCAACGCCAACCAGATGCAAACACATTCACAGTGCAAGGCTCTGTCTACATGCATGCAAGTTTGTGCACGCGCACGCATGCAAGTGTATCTGTGCGAGTGTGAGAGGGGAAAACTGACCGAGAGAAATGGAGCTTAAGGGGCATACCAACTTGAATATATAAAAATGAAGGTAATGATGCTTTCAGTACTAGTGTGCATTGCGACCGAGCAATCCTTGAAAAGATAGGAAAAGATCTTTGTTGTCTGTCCCAAATATCTCTTCTGCTTTTCTTAAAGTTTCCTAAAAGAGGAAAGAACAAGTTGTTTAACAATTAAGGACCAGGGCAGGACCCAGCATTCAATAAAAGGAAAAAAATAGTAATAGCACCCAGTACTGCATACAGCATTTCAAGACTGAAAGAAGTATTTACCTCTCGTGTTTGCTTCTGAGCATTCAATTCCTTGATGTTAGCAAGAAATGCACTAAACTGCTCATAGGAAAGGCGACTCCTGGAAAAGATGTATGTAAAATATACAATCAGCTTTTAAGAGAATATCGGAAAAAAACAATCATTTTACAAGAGAAGGAAAAAGGATGCTACCTAGCTTGGCGGAAAAACTCCTTTCCATCAATTCTTGGAGTACGGCCTATAGATATTTTTAGTATAAATCATCAGAGATGGACAACATTAAGCATTAAGCAGTTTATCAAACCGATGAAAGAGTCAATGTTACACCCCACCCCACCCCACCCAAATGAAAAAGGTTTTCTTTTCCAAGTTGAAGAGAGGAGAGATTATCTTTAAATGTCATTTTAACTCCAGTACTCCATTAGGCAAGAGGTAAAACAAGTGCTCTTCCAATCAGACCTATTCAATTACTCACGCAGGGGAAGATTTTAGGGAATTAACGCAGTACAGTAATACATGAAGTGTCTTCTGCCCTTGTTTTTTACCCAGTGAATTGATGTCAATTCCCTTTTAGACAAACTCTATCAAACAGTAAATATACTTCCAGAAGGGTGATAAAATCCATTATATTGACCAAAGTTTAGTTCTCTATATGTGTGAAATAACCATTTAGCATAGATCTCTTCACTTGTTGGCAGAAACAGCATTAAAAAACCATCGTTTTTTTTCTCCACCATGCTCTGATTTTAATAATAATATGCCAAAATATAATTATAGATTTACTAGTAACTCCTACATTTATAATAATGAGGTACATGCCATTCAGTGTGTAACCAGCATCTTTTACCAACTATATCTTCCAAAACCAAAACAATATTTCAATATCTTAACTGGTAGCTTTTAAAATGATAGCATCCACCGGGTACTAGGAGCAAATAACTAAGTTTAATGGATTTCAATAACCAATCTTATCAAGATGTTGAGGGGAAAAAATATTAATAGTGGAACAACAATAAATATTCCAAACCTGAAAGAGATCGTGCACGAGGAGGAGAGTTTGCTGCAGACGACTGCTGACTTGATGGATACCATGAAGATAGTGATTGCCGTCCTTCATATGGAAGCTTAGTGGGAGAAGTGGCGCCAGAAGTTTGCTTAGGAGATCCAGCTGCAGAATACCCTCTCGGAGATCCAGCTGTTGAGATCACTTTTGGAGTTCCTTGTGGAGTAAGACGTGGTGTGATATAAGGAGTTATAGAAAATCTATTTCCAGCATATCTTGAACCTATAAAACCATTTAAAAAACAAAAATATTCAAGTCACAGAAGATTAGAAGACATTGATATTTCCTGCATTATATTTATAGAAAATGAAATTACACATTAAAAGCATTTAGCAGAAATTTCAGATTTTGAAACAGGAAACACCCATGAACTATAGTATATTGTCATGAACCGTAGTACTTGCATCCAATAACATGGTAAACTATAGAATTGCAGAGTAACATGAGCTACGGTTACTATTTACACTGGAAAACTTTATCTACCTTCATCAATAGTGGTACCCACAGTAGTAGAGCTATTATATGAATGATGTGCCGCATAGCCACTGCCATTTTCATCTGCAAGCAATAAAAAGAGAAATGTACATTAGCCTTCAAAAGCAAGACAATTAATACTATGAATATTCACTAGAAAATTTACGAAATGGATAGTCATTGAGATTGAAAGTACCCTTATCAGGATATGCCTTTGGAACAGACTGGTCACAAGTTCCAATATCAACAGTTTCAGTCTGTTGCACAACAGTAGGGAGAACAGAATATAAACTTCTTCAGGAGGAATATACAGGTCATTTTCAAAACCAGTCTCAATTGCAACAACTAAAAATGTCTTACAGATTGATTATCATCATTTAAAGACTGCATCAGCTGTCTCTTAAATGCTTCCAACTATCAAATAGCGTGGAAAAACAGTCAGGTCTCGGGAAAAAAGAAAGAAAAAGAAAAAAAATTAGAACATCATCTGACAATCTAACCAGTGATTTGTGCATATATAAAAGGAAAGAAATGTGGAAATTTAGAAGAAGCTAATATATCTGAACTAGTAAGAATATAGAAGTAGAGAAAAGTAAATACAGGGCACACTAGTCAAGAAAATAAGTATGCAACTATGCATGAAGGACAAAATCTCAATAAAAGTCAAATTGTGTTCACAAGGAAAGATTTCCATCATAAAAGATAACAGAATTTTTCTTGCCAGAAGGGAAAAAATATGCACAAACATGCACCATGGAACACAGACACTCCATCTCGACAGTGACAGCCATATTGAGTATTATCAACAAAAGAAAAGGCATTTGTAAGCTAATTAGTTCTTAAAGCCACGAGAGCAAGATTTAGTGGACAAAACAACGTTCCTGGTGATGACCATGCAAGGGGCTTTCTTTAACCAAATGTAAACTTTTTTCCCTATATATCATACTTTTCTATAGTTATGGGCTAATTTGTACAAAATCTTTCCATGTTATCATATTTTGTTCAAGAAATAATTTTGTGATTTGCAATGTCAGCCAACATATCTTCAACTCTCACCTTTGATAAGTCTCGACTGAGCTTTTTTGCTGTCACTGCCAATTGCTCCCTCTCCTGTGTAAGCTTTATCTGCAATATACATAATAAAAAGCATCTACCATCAATTCTAAACTTTCAAATGAATAATATTTTATTTAATTCCAACAAATGTTTTATTTTACATATACCACTCAATAAATAGAAAGACAATTCCAGACTGACATATGTCAGGCTTCTCGTCCCACAGTGGTCATTCCACCTTTAGTTCCTTGTAAAAATTAAAGCCTCCTAATGTTTATGTTTTGCACTAAATAAGTAAGAACAAAATGCTAGCGTAGAGTGTCTGTGTGAGTATTGCCACGGATTAGCAGTGAAAATAATTAATTCTATCGTGTAACTACTCCTTACCTTCAGCGTACAGCCTTTACTTCCACCATGTCAGGTTCGTTACTAAAGTTAATTGTTAATTATTATGATAAATAGTTCCATCATATACTTACTTCAGTTCCCAGCATTTCCTTTTTTTTTCTTATAGTCTTGCGCAAATACCGATTATGCGAGGTGAACACAGTCATTTGCTTAACCGCAGGCGGCAGTATTAATGGAAATACAAGGAATATCCCGCTCTACTCAGAACATAATCAGAGTTTCTTTCTTTCTTTCTTTTAAATTAAAAAAGGGGGGGACATCAACTTACATTCTCATCGAGAGCGACCTTCAATCTGGACTCAGCTTCCTGGCATGCATGATTAAGACCGGAGACCTTCTCCTCGAGCGCGAATATTATTCGGTCCTTCTCATAAAGCCTCTCTTTGACCCGACCCATTTCCAACTCGAGCTTCGAAACCCGCGAAGCGATCGCCATCGAGGTAATCTTGCGAGCCAGATCGAGCTGCTCATAAGGGTCGGTGGGTATCACCGATAGTATCTCGTCGGGCAGATGGAAATCGGGACCAACCGCATTGCTGAGCCCGTTAACCTGCGACATACGTAATAACCACCTTCTTCCCTCCTCCCCGCAAACGAGAAAGATTTCAGCTTCCTGTTTGATGGAGGTGGGGATTTAGGTTTTTCGATGAATTCGAAGATGGGAGAGGTTGTTGCAGGGTTTGGACTTTTGAACCAAAAATGCCCTCTTCCGCTTTTGATAGTTGATATACAGTGGTAGTACCGCATTTGAATTGTTTGACAGTGAGTTAAATATTGCCATTACAATGAATCAACAAACAAGGGGCTTGGAAGAGGGGTTTCGTGATGTTTTTCCCCCCAAAGGCATCACATTAATTATTTATTATAATTTTTCTTTTTTCTCACCACTATTCAGTATTGACGTAAAAAAGTAGTAAGAAAAATGTTTGATGATATATTTAATATAGGTTTAATTTTACTATGAAATATTAAAAATGAATTATAAATAGGATAAGAAGTAAATTTTAACCGATGACAAAAAAAAAAAAAGATTTTAACCATATTTTTCTTTTACATTGGGATTTTATGAAAAGGAATGAGGAAGAGTTTGTTTAGATTGATTTATAAATAATTTTTTAAACGTGATTTGTGAAATACGAGGTAAGTATATATAGAGAGTTTTGTTTCGATTTACATGAACTTACTTAAAAGTTTATTTTGAACGGAACTCCAAACAAGCCCGAAGTAGTTAAAGTCAAAACATGGTTTCAAACAAAATTAACATGTTTCCAAATCAAGTTTGGACTGAGTTTTTAGGCACTTGATTATATACTTTTTTTGGCCAGCACTTAATTACATAGATAACATAATTTTTCTCAATTAAATTGGGATAAATGGACTTTTTAAAAAAAAAAAAAACATCAAGAGCAAGCTAGGGACTGGATCTTAAATTTTAAAAAAAAAACACACACACGCGCGCAAAGAAAACTAATATAAAATATAGTATGCGTTTGCGTACCCGAATTATTCATTCTGGATGGGGAAAAAATTTGATTTATTTTTCCCGCCCGGAAGTTGCAATCTCACGCGAGGCAGTTCCCAGCACTCTCTTTTTTCCTTTCATCATCTTACTTCCCTTCTAAACAGTCAACGGTTCAAAATTTATCGATACAATCATTTCTCTTATGTATTATTCTTCTGATTCTTAATATAAGACTTAATTATTGAGTTAATTTTGGTCATAAATATAAAATTTACTTATTATATTTATCATTTTTTTTCTAAATTATCTCTATGGATCTCCTTTAACTATAATCAACTAGTAAAGGGAGAGAGGATATTAAGGAAAATGATTATGATGTTTTAGAAAAAATATATCATTTTTTTATAATTAACTAATTTACCTAACTTCCTTAATCTAATCAAATTAGTTAAATGGATTTTATATTAAGGACCGGGAGATTACTATTTTTTCTCCAAACACCAGAAGCATTTTTATCTACCAAATTATTACTCCTTCGGTCCTTAATATAAAACTTATTTAACTAATTTGATTAGATTAAGAAAGTTAAGTAAGTTAGTTAATTATAAGAAATATGATATGTTTTTTTTAAAACACCATGATCATCTTCTTTAATATCCTCCTTCGTTCTTCTACTTGATTATGATTGAGAGAGTATTCATAGGGATAATTTAGAAAAAATTAATAAATGTAAGAAATATGTCTTATATTTAAGACTTAAATCAACTCAATAATTAAGTTTTATATTAAAAATAAGAGGAGTATTATTTATTTCATCTACAAAATAATTTCACGTGAAGTTTTTAAAATGTAAAGCCCAAACAATCTAAATGTTAACCAGGTTATGTAACGAACCATTAAAAACATTAAAGGCTTAGTATCATTTTTAATCCTTAAAAACTTAACTTTCTTTTGGTTTTGATTTCTAAAATTTAAAACAAGTAGTTTTGGTTTATGAAATTTGATATCATTTTAATTTGCTTGAAAATTTTCAGTCTTTAGAACAGTATTTTCAATAATTGAAATAAGGTTTTAAGAAGTAAAACTACTCATTTCAAATTATAGGCATCAAAACTAAAATAAAATCAACTTTTAAAAACTAAAAGTAATACTCTTCTGGTTTTAATGTAATACCTAATAAACTAATTTGATTAGATTAAGGAAGATAGGTAAGTTAGTTAATTATTAAAAAAATGACATGTTTTTTTTTTCTAAAACAATATAATCATTTTTTTTAATATCCTCCCTTATTCTCTTACTTGATTATGGGTAAGAAAATATTAATAGGGATAATTTAAAAAAATTGATAAATATAAGAAATAAGTCTTATATTTAGGATTAATATTAACTCAATAATTAGTCTTATATTAAGGATCATATGAGTATTAATACAAAATTAAACTTATTTGATGTTTGGAGGTGTTTAGGTGAAAACCAAACATGATTTTAAGAGTGATTTTATAGTATAAAGTAAGTATGTAAGAAAAATTTTGTCTTGATTTGTATAAAAATATTTTTTAAAAGTGATTTTTGAACAAAACAAGCACTTTTTGCCTTTTAGGTACAGGGGGGATAGTATAACCATGTCCATGCCAATGCTATAGTCAAATTGAGTTTATTGCCCCTCTTTTTGTTGTTGTAAACATACTTAAAGGAGTATAAAAAAATCTAAATATCATATGAATGGTCTTTAAAGTATATAAAGAAAATTACTTGCAACAATTTCCTTCATAGCAATATACACATGATAATTTAATTCAGTTATTATATTTTCCATATTTTGACTGCACTCTTGGTAAATTTTCTTTTTCCTTTTTAATGTACCCGTGTAACATTGTAAATCAGAATTGAGTACATATTCTTTTTTTTTTTTTTTTGAGCTGAAGAATTGAGTACATATTCATGCTGGCCAAAATGAGGAGTACTTATTTTTCATATACGTTTTTAAGTATTATTTTTAATGACAATTTACAGGTAAAATTGAATTCATTTTAAGCCCCGACGATATCCAACACTGTTGATTCATGAAATAAGTTTGACCAACTCAAACCACAAATATTTTTCCACCATTATTGAATAATGTTTCCTTTTGAATTAAAAAAAAAACCAAACAGACAAAAGTAAACAAAAAACTAAACGTAATTTAATGGATATTTAAATGAATTCCCCCACTGTTCTCTAATTTCTACCCTTATTCCTTCTTCTTGAGACCACAGTCCATCCATCGCCTTCTGCCTCAGCTGCAGCCTTGGGCATGGACTCCATAGCTGGCACTTCCATTTCCACCGCCATATCAGAATCTTCATCACTGTCATCGTCTTCGTCGTCGTCCTCATCATTATTCACAAGCTAACAAGGCAAATATGTCAAAAATTATAACATCAGTCAAAGTCAAGCAGATGATAATCAGATTGTTTCTGTTCACATATCATTGATGATAGCCAAAAACATTGTGTGTACGATCTTAACCATACTCAGTCAACAAACATAAATGGCAACTGACAAAAATCAGATTATGAGAATCAGCATGCCGCCCATGAATATAAATCTTTCACAAGGGAGAGAGCAATGCCATTTCTTTCCTAATTTTTATGCCTCGTGCAATAAGATCATTACTTTCGTCCGGTTCAGCATGGTAATTCATGTATATTCATATTTAAATTAAATTTGGCGATTCTTTGCTTATTTTGAATAAATGGTCGTTCTATCCAATGATATTTGCCGTGGAAAAAAGGAATGCAAATGCCAAAGCCACCCACAAGGATGTGAGAAGTGGGAGTATTGATTCAAGCAACTAAGATTCAAATTCCGAGATTTTCAGATCACACAAATGACTGCCACTAGAATAGTATGGCATGCCAGCTCTAAATCAAACAAGAGTTTCTAGTCTTAGTTCTTGTATATATGAGTGAAGGCCACATCTTTTAATTTCCAGCAACATTACAAATGATAACTCGTTGCTCCTCCCTCCCAACATACTCCATTGGACATCAAGTTTTCAGTTGTAAAAGCTAAATTTGTTATATACATCCCAACAATAAATATACTTTATACAACCAATATAATTATAAAACAGTACTTCAGTTTTTAAAAACATGATACTATAATATACCTCTTTAGGATCAGGGCGAGCAGCTTGTTTAAGACTGGCTTCCCTTAGAATCTCAATGGACCTAAAATTACCTTCAAGACATTCTTCATGCAGAACCATCAGTTTCTCAGCTACCTGCAAAATCACCAACACGAAAATGATGGGATAAAAGAAAAAAATAAGAACAGCTATTGCATACCACCAATGCATCTATGTGTTCAAATTATAACCCAGGCAGATATAAATTTATTGACAAAAAACCCCCATCATAGGCATCTTAGCAATAGTTCAATTTAATGAGTAGCTCGTTGAGATAGAAGAGTTCTCGCAGGAATTTGGCCAATGAAAATAAAACACACATGCACTTGACATGCATTTAAGAATAAGAATTTGAGCCTTCCTAAAAAATGTAGTTAGACATAACCTGGCCAAAAAATGTGGTATTGACTATTAATAAACTCATAATAAAGAATAAGGGTTCCAACAACCCAATAGGCCAATATAGGTCTTCGGAATATTTATGCAAAACCCACGAAGTTGATCATGAGACTCATTCTCAAAAGAGCATGATCTATTATAAACATGAAAAGAACAAAAGCTCTGTCAGCACAAGTTTGTTTTCACATTCAAATGCTGGCAATATAATGAAATAAAAATTAGTTAATGCCATGAAGCCCAGTATTGAAATTTATAACATATTAGGACAACAAATAATTATATGAGAATCTGAAAGCAACTATTGCAAGATATCTTAATTATATATATCCAAAAACCTCTTCTTCACTGCCATCTTGAATCACCATGTTGAGAGAACGCATACCATGATAGAGCATTTCTTCCAAGTCATCAATAAACAGAGGCTCTAGGGAATAAAAGGTATTAGAATCAGTAATTGAATTCAAGAGTAATACCACATCCAACATATTAAAAGATTTTCCTCCCCTAAATTATCACCCCTCTCTGAATCAAACAGCAATCAACTTCAATCTGACTTTCAATGCAACATATATATGTGTATAAAATTCTACCAATTCCATCTCTTAATATTACTTAATTATAAACAGACTCTACCAAATCCTTCTCACTTAAGCGTCGGCAACTACCACAGGATTCTGCTTTTGATCATACAAACCAGGCAGTTTTGTGTTCCAATAGAAAAAGAAGTTAACCTTTACATTGGGTGAACCAGTATAGTATGTCGCTGCCAAGTCTGTCAGCCTTCTGGCGAGACTCTCGACCTCCCAATTGGCTCTCAACAGCAATACGGAGAGGTCGCCAGAGATAGAGAGCCAGAGCTATCCCTTCGTTGAAAATAGGGATTGAATCTGCTGGTAATCTTCTCTCCATCGTTTTCTTTGAATATTATGTCAACTTCGAATTTTGAGGAAAAATTTTGTTTTGATTTGCGTGAAAGTATTTCCTGCTGTTCTAATATGCAGCGCAAACCCTAGGCCAATAAAGGCTCTCTACAGGTTCGGCCCACTGCAGCTTATTATCTCTTAAAATAATTTACAGTAGTAGTATTATTCTTGTTTTATTCTTTTTTAAGTTAATGTATTTCAAAACAGAATCTGTTTTTATCTTATCTTTATCATATCTGAATTAATAGATAAGATTTAGCCTAACTTACCTAGGTAAAGTAGGAGGCAGGCTTGTTGCCTTCACTTTAACCCCTTGCTTGGATTGAGAGAAAATTAGAGAGGAAAGAAAACTAGAGAGAAAAACATGAGGGGAAACAAGTTTTCTCTTGTTTGGATAGGAGAGAAAATGTGGGAGGAAAGAAAAGGGGAGGAGAAAATAAGGTAGGTTCCATGCCTCATTTTCTCTCCATATATGGAGAGATTTGGAAAGGAAAACAAGACTTCCATGAGTGCCCCTCATCTCTCTTCCTCTCCATATTTATTTTCTTTTATTATATTAAAAAAGTTATTCACTTTTTTTTCATCTTAAAACAATATTTTTATTAAATAATTTGGTTTTAAAATATAATAATCTGAAAATATATACAAATCAAATAACTTGATTTTAAATTATTTGATGATGGTAATGTTAGTATAATTTTTTTATTGTAATATTTAATTTAATTTAATTTAATTTAATTGTAAATATGATATATTTTGATAAAGACATTTTAGTCATTTAGATATATGTTAATTTTCTTTCCTCTCTATTTTCTCTCTTCCATCCAAGCAAGAGGGATGATCACAACTTTCCTCTAATTTTTTCTTCTCTCTATTTTCTCTCCTCTTATTTTCTTTCCTCTCAGCTTTTCTTCCCATCCAAGCAGAGCATAAGTACCTTACCTAGCGATTCTGTTTCGGCGATATATGACTGAAGTCTGAACGTAGAAAACAGCAAGTTCTTCAACCGTTAGTGGTGCAGCCACAACCCCAATCGCTAATGGTCTTTTTCCCTTGATCACCAATGTTCCCTGAGTTTCCTCGTGTTCATTCGAGCAAAAGGCAGAGAAGAGTGTGAGAATGTTTGGATTGGTATTGGACAAAACTAATTTCTAACTCAACTGATTTTTGTAACTTAATTTAAAATAAAAGTCAGTTAGGATATGTTTGGATAGATGTTTTTAAAAAGTCAGTTGAAAATTGTTTGGATGATTAATAGAAAAATTAGTTTAATTGTAAAATGACTGAAAAGAGTATAGACTTTATTGAATAGTACTGTTTAAAATTTTATGTTTTTAATGTGATAATAGTTTAAAAAATACGTAATGGGCAAACATGAATGTAAATTAAAATTTATATAAAAGCTTATTATGCTAACGAAGGCAGAGAAGAAAATATGAGAGTAAATCTGGGATATTCATTTTTAATAATCACCGTTTGAAATTACAGTTTAAAAAGTCAGATTTTTCTCTATTGAGTTCAACTGAGGTTGAAAGTCAGAAGTTGGTTGGAAAAGTTAATCCAACCAAACAACAGTTTTTATCCAATTCAGTTTGTAACATCAGTTTTACAGATTCCAAGACATAACTACAGTTTCAAACTGCAATCCAAACTTGTCATAGGAAAAGAAAAAATTAACATGGTTTAGATATCCACATTTAATAGTTGACAACATCTTAAACAAAATTGCCTCCAATCAAAATGTATGCGTGGAAAAAAAAAATTAGAAAGGAAAGAGAAACGAGCTGGGGAGGAAGGAAAGAGAAAAGAAACAGCGGAGAAGCTTATTTATTCCCACCTTTCAAATTGAGAGAATTACAATCAAGTCCTATAAAAAGAAAAAATTTACAAAACAAGTTCCAAATATTATCATTCTCTACTGTAAGACTTGTCAGGTTGTTATTAAAATTTTTTAGTAATTATTTCTCTTATATGAGACTTGATTATAATTCTCTTCAAATTTTACGTAACATACCAAACAAAATTTAGGTAGCATCATTCGGCTCCATTCTCGTTCTTCTTTCGATTTCTTTTTCTTTTTCTTTTTTACAATCCATTTCAATAAAAGAAACATACAATAAACGGATCTCCCTAGGGTACAAGACTTCTGTTCATTCTTGATGGGGTTCCAAAAAAAGAAACAGAGCAACGCAAGGCAGCATGATATACCAAAATCTAAACGGAATACCTGACGACACGACGATCATTACAAGGCGATCATAAACCATATCATCCATTGCAAGCATGAATTAATTCCACAATCCGGCCATCAAAGCATGCAAATTCTAATAAATATTTAGTGATATTAATCACAATTTGCAGCGCTAAGACATAGTTGATCTGGCTAGCTTCATTAGGGTCGTAAAGCCACGTTATCCGTTTGGACAAACTTCTCGGATAAGAATGATATTGGAAAAATCCCATCCCTCCATCGCTAACTTCCCCCTGACAGGTGAACACAGATAGGCAAAAGACAAAGATCCAGTAAATCAGCAGGCAACCATCATTCCTCAATTCAAGGGACTTCAAAATTGCATCATCACCACCACCACCACCACCACCACATTGATTATCATTTCAAATAAGTAATCAACAAAAACATTCAAAAAATGGCCTTCCTCTTCAATCCATATATACCTCACTATACAAAATTTCTTATCCACCCATAAGAGAGGAATAGGTAAAATAATAGAACAAGACTACTGATGGTCCAACCAACCAAGTTGGAGGAGTCTTATAGTCCAGTTACAAAAGTGAATTCATTTAGCCAAGAGATTTCAGCACGACTACAACTGCCGCATACTAAGCAACAGTTAATGAGGCCTCAAGCACGATTTTCCTGTAAATGCCTTTTTTTGTCCCTCTCAGAATGACCAGGCTGACTGACCTTGTTTCGATCTTCCATATGGTCAAAGCGATTATGAGGGTTATGAGGTCTCCCTTCCAATTCCTTGTCAGGTGAGCTTCCAGCTTTTCTCTTGCGGTTACCTGACTTGGGTGACTTGAGTCCAGAGCCAAAGTCATCGAGTGCTGATACCTCCCCTTCCTCAACGGTATTTAGATCAGGTTCAGATGATGGCAGGCTCTTTACCCCATGACGATGCTCATCTGCGTAATCTTGGTGCCTTCCATGCAGCATATTTCCATTATCTGATCTATCTGATGGCTTAGGCCGGTTCTGCCTCCTATCCTGCTTGCCCTTTTCACTCTGAGCAGCCAGTTCAATTCCATCCTCCAGTTCCCTCTCAATGAGATCGTCATCATCCATAACCTCTGTTTTCTTAGTTATATGACCAGATGCTTTCCTCCGTTTCTCTAGAGCAGCCTTTACCTTGTCTCTGTCAATTTTTTTAATAGTTTCCTGAGGTGGCCGCCCTATCATACCATCTCTGTGATCAGGATCTCTGTTGGCATGTTTCACATTCATCTCAGCAGCCTCCTTCTTTTCACTTCTCCCAACACTGGTTTCTTGGTCTTCCCTGTAAACTGATTGAGACCTCATGTCTTGAGCTTCCTGCAAGTTTTCCTTGTGTGGCAGGGTTTCACCCTCAAGATGATAATCACCCTTGACTTCATCTGCTCTGTGCTTCATTTCTGTGCTCCCATAATCAGTACTTCTACCATAATTCAGCACTGAATGCCCATCATGATTAGCAGATGGCTCAAACACCGTCTTAGAAGCTCCAGGCCTTGAGGTTTCAAGTTTTGAACTCGTAGCTCCAGTATGGGAATTACTGTTTGTGGTTGCATTTTCATCATTGCTAGCAGGGACCTTTGCAGCAGCCCAATTGGTGGCTCCACTTCCCGTAGAACCTTCAATTTCATTCGAAAGTGCACACCGGTTTTTGTTCGTATAGCTCCAACATTTGATTACTAACTTCTGCAGAAAGAAAATCAACACAATTGGATCTTTCATGATGTTTGATCTTTCATGATAATAAAAATGCATAAACAATAGCTGATGGCATCTGTTACAAACTTTGCTTTTTACTGGCAAAACTTATCCAAGCCCTTTAATTGAACATTAAAATTCTCCCTTGAATACAACCACAATCAAGAGAAGGGAGGCAAGCAACAGAAAATAAGAGAAGAGCCAAAGAAAGATAGAGAGAGGTAGTAGTACTGTTTTTTCATTTCTTTAGACACTAAAAAAAAGGGCAACCAACCCTCCAATTGCCGGGGGGTAACATCAAACTCTTCTTGCCACCAGACCTTCTCCCCATCTGATGGGAGCTTCACCTTAAGGAACTTGGCAGCAAGAAAAATAAGCTCCTGCCGAATAATGATGGGGGTGGAATTGCAGGAAAGACATGTCCGAAGTCTGCATACCCATCCTAATTTCAGGAAGGAAAATAAAAGACAGAGCATAACAAAGAGGAGTAATTACATACCCATCATTAACAAAATTCACGCAACTTGAGCAAGGGCATTTTTGAGCGACTTTAAATTTTTTAATAGCCTCAACAAGAGGCTTATGGATGGTGCCAGATTAAGATCAAGCCAAGAGTTTGAAGAACAATCCTCTCTCCAGCTAACAATTCTTTCTTTCTGCTGTTCATATACCTCCTGCAACCATAATTGGAAGTACAAAGAAATTGCATAATTGCACAAGAAAACAATAATATATAGAGCCACATCACTGAAAACAAGAAAACAAATCATAATAAATTGGAAGAAATAACCAGAAAACTAAATTGAGAAACATACAGTGAAGGACAAAGACAATCCAGTCATTTCAATTTTTTTTTAACTCGCATGTCAAAATCAATGCATCCATCAGTCTACTTTGGAAGGCACTAAGCTCCCTATTAGGAACCCTCAAATGGAAATTGAAGAAAAAGATAAGAGCATACAGTTATTAGCAAAAAGAGACAGGCAGTTAAATCAAACAAATTTACTTAAACATAATTTTCAAATAGGCAATTCAACAATAAAAGAATCCAATAATAAAAGAATAGATTGCCAGATAAAAAGCACAAGGCAGACTTAAGGGTCTTCAAGATAATACCTTTTGTTTGATTCTTT